CAGATTCACGCCCCAGGAGCCCAAAAGTCACGACAGTTACAGGATCCCGATGACCCGCCTCGGATTAGTAAAATGATCTGCGGGCCCCATAAGGAGAGGCTCCCGCCTGAGACTTCCTCGCAATTCACTCACAGACAACGCTCCCGCCTGATACTTCCTCCAAATTCACGCCCCAGGAGCCCAAAAGTCACGACAGTTACAGGATCCCGATGACCCGCCTCGGATGAGTAAGATGATCTGCGGGCCCCATAGGGAGAGGCTCCCGCCTGAGACTTCCTCGCAATTCACTCACAGACGACGCTCCCGCTTGATACTCGAGTGAGTGACGGACTGACTGAGTGATGTGTGACGCCAACGGATGATATCCTCATGTGACGATCATGATGAGTGAGTGAGTGAGTGAGCGATCGAGTGGTGTATGGGTAAGTGTGATGGTGCTGAGGAGGAGAGGCGTGGGTCATGATGATGATGACTGATGATGATGATGGCGAGAAAGAGGAAGAGAGAGAGAGAGGGTGTGAGATCCTGCGCGGGGGGTGTGCAGAGAAAACAAGAACCCCACTTTGGATGTGGGGACCAACAACAGACATGCACCAAGCGATTTGGTAAGACAGTCGTTGTGAAATCGACTTGCTGGGCGACGCGGTGCAAGCCAATGATGGAAGCTACTACGCCACAGCTTCGCAATCGGTTGCCAGCGTGTCTGGCAACAAGTCCCACAACCAAACCAATGCTCAATGAGCGCGCTAACCCAAACTGCCAACATCTTCAAAACATGGTGGGCCGGATAGCCCGCGCACCTCAGCCGCCAGCGGCAATGTGGTGCGAAACATTGTTTATGTTTGGCTGTGCGCCTTTCAACATACAAGCGAGCCAAGCGACACCGAAGGACAGATAGCACAGCATGGATGTATGAAGGATCTGAACTGGAACGTGCGATGTGGATGGAATATTACGCACATGTGGGCGGATGGCATGTACATACATATGCATACGAATATCTAAGCTCTTCTACAGTAGAGCCACGCGACGCGCTTTGCACGCTTGGATTCTAGCAAGCTGCTGCCCTCGGCAAATCACAAGTGCACGCAGATTGGTATCCGCAACTGCCCTCAGCATACAATGAACAACAAACAAGACGCGATCCGAACAGAAACGCTTTAGCGACAAGGACACACCCACACATTGCAATGCGAAGCCAGGCAACAAACTTTGCCCGCGCGTAGTCTCTAGTCGAAGACCCATGAGGAATGCCTCAGGGCGTTTGGGCGGGCTCGTGGGAGCCTCTTGGAAGCCTTTTTGGGGCTTCCTCTGAGCATCTTTGGGGCCTCTTATTCTCGGGTCTTGAGGCCTCTTGGGGGGCTTTGGAGGGCCTCTTGGGGCCTCCTGGGTATCTCTGAGGGCAGAGAGCTCGAAATGTCGGTTCGCGTTCCCCCTCGGGTGACCCAGTTGGCGCGTTCTTGAAGCTTCTCTTGGGCCGCCTTGGTGGCCTCTTGGGCCGTCTGGGGGGCCTTCTGGGCCGTCTCGGTGCCCGCCTGGGAGCCTCGAAAACCGATTTGGGGCGATATTTGGGGTTTGTGGGGCCGTCTTGGAGCGTCGGGGAACTGAAAAAGCAGAAACGCGGAAACACTTCAAAAACTTCAGAACCCCAAGAGACACGTCTTCCGCTTGGGCCTCCCAAGAGGGCGAGTGGAGGTCCCCACGACATCGTACAAAGCACGGGAAATCTGCCGTGCTCTGTTCTCGGGGCGCTCGTCCGGGGCCTCGGCCCCAGGGGCGCCCACCGAAGCCCGCCCGGGGCCGTCCCGGCGCTGCCCGGAGGCCTCCGCAGTCCGCTTAGCAGCCATCGTCGGCGCCCTCGGGGTGCGAGGGCCCAGGCCGGCAGGCTTTCGTATGTACCAATGCGGGGGCCATCCCTCCTGCGCCCACGGGGCCACTCCGGAGGCCACGGGGGGGCTCGTGGTCGGAGCGGCCATGCGTCACCGCGGCCGTAGTCCTGGGCCCGCCCGCGGCCTTTTCCGAGATAGTAGTGTGCACGTATGTATGTATATTTGTATACACATAGCAGTGTGTGTGTGTGTGTGTGTGTGTGTGTGTGTGTGTGTGTGTGTGTGTGTGTGTGTGTGTGTGTGTGTGTGTGTGTGTGTGTGTGTGTGTGTGTGTGTGTGTGTGTGTGTGTGTGTGTGTGTGTGTGTGTGTGTGTGTGTGTGTCGAGCTGTCTTGACCGATTCGAGCCTCACCAGCTCATGGCCTGCAAAATCTCGCTTGAGAGGTAAGCCAATCGGAAACTCCCAACTACCTGCAGGGGCACAGCTGGTATCACTACCAGGCCGTTAAGACAGACGAGGGAAGTGGGCAGACCAGGGAGGCCACCTCATCATGTTCCTCCTCTTCCTTCTGCCCTGCGTCCTGTGCTGACAAGCCTGCTCAAGCAAGTGACTCGCAAAAGTGTTTTCTTCAGTGCGCAGCGTATTACCAGGAGCGCAACTGCAGCAGCTCTCTGGTGCGGCCCAGCGGAGCGCTCCCTCCACCCCACCCCACCCCACCCCACCCAAACGCGGACCGCAGACAGACCGAAGCTAGACGTCCCCCCCCAAAGCATTGGCGGAACAACCGTCGCGGGTTCCAGCGGATGTGATCTGTGCCCCGCGCGGGCCCAAACGAGACCTCGCCCCCAAGCCAGGGTGTTGCGGAACGCCCCCCTCGGGTTTCACCAGGTGGCCCCCTCCTGCACGACGCCCTGGTGCCTGGAGCCTCGTCCAGTCGGGGCGCGCCCGCGGGATCAGCTCGCCAGGAAGGAACGGGGTCCTGAGGGATACGGATCCTGGATCCGTGGGAAAAAACACACACGTGCGAAACACACACACACACACACACAAACACACACACACACACACACACTAACACTAACACTAACACTAACACTAACACTAACACTAACACTAACACTAACACTAACACTAACACTAACACTAACACTAACACTAACACTAACACTAACACTAACACTAACACTAACACTAACACTAACACACTAACACACACTAACACACACTAACACACTGTGGGACAAAAAAACACACGTGGACAAAAAAACAGACGTGTGTTTTCCCCACAGACGTGTGTGTTTGTGTTTTTTCCCACAGATCTTTCCCCAAGACCTGCTCGTCATCCTGAGGTGCTTTCGGATATTCGACGGCCACGAGGCCCACCGAGGGTCCAGAAAACGGGGAAGGACCTCCAGGGCCCCTTTCGTCAAGGAGCTGCTCCACTTCGTCGGAGGCCGAGAAATTGGCACCAACACCAACACAAGGGGGCTGCCTCCACAGATGGAAGACGATCCTCGATTCCGATGCTGGTGGTACTCTTTCGGCCACCTTGGAGGCCAGAATCTGACCACCGTCGCCAAGATCGGGGTCGTTTTCCCTCGGTGGAGGCAGGCCGCCGATTGGCGTTGGTGTCAACCTCTGGGCCTGCGACATGCGAGCCAGGCCGGCGGCCTAGGCTCCACGGGGGCCTCCGGAGACGCGCGGGAAGCCCCGGGAAGGCACGCGGAGACCCCGCGCGCGGGGCGGTCGGCCGACTGAGCGCGCCACCAGGGAGCACGCGGGCCAAGGCCCCGCCCTCAGCGGCGGGCGAGGCTTCAGCCGAAACGCGCCAGGGAGAGGAGGGGGAGGAGGGGGAGGAGGAGGAGGAGGAGGAGGAGGAGGAGGAGGAGGAGGAGGAGGAGGAGGAAGAGGGGGAGGAGGAGGAGGAGGAGGAGGAGGAGGGAGGAGGGAGGTGGTGGTGGTGGTGGTGGAGCCGTTGGGGGCCAAGTCCGATCCGCTTGCAGCACCTCGGGCCCCCAGGAAAGATATGGAAGCAAACAAGGATGGGACCTTTGCCTGTCCCCCCCCTGCCGCCTACGGCGAACGCCGCAGCCTCATGCTGGAAGCGCTGCCGCTTCGGCAGAGGCTCCCGTCGCAATTTGATACCTCAAAACTCGTGTGTGTGTGTGTGGTTACCCCTTCATGGGGCGAGCCACACGCCCCTTGCTGCTGAACCTCTGGCCTCATGAGGCCTGGGAGGGAACAAAAATATCCAGACTCGCTGACTGTGGCCAGCCCTCCCCCCCGCGCCCAGGGCTGTCCTGCTGGCTGTACTTATGCAGCAGCAGCCCGTGCAAGTCGACGCGGGACGGGCGGGAGTGGGGGGGGGGGGGGCGAGCGGCAGCAGCAGGCTCTCGGATGGAAGGGAAGCAAGACATGCTGGCTCTATTTACTGCCCCTCGCCCCTCTCACTGCTCCCGCTCGGTCTCGATATCTCCCAGTTGAAACGCTGCACACCGTAGTCAGACTCATCCAGCACCCTGATGCACTCATGCAAACGATCCAGCTCGTCCCGCAGGTCGCTTATCTGACTGTCTAGGTTGCGCCGCGTGGTAACACGGTCGGCCTCAAGGTGCGCGTCATTCAAGACTGGGGACATGGTATTATCCCTCTGGAGCTGGATGTAACTGAGCTGGCTGTTCAACATACTGCACTGCCCCAGTATAATAAAATAACGATCGCGCAGGATGCGGCCCGTCGAGAGGTGGGCCTGCTGAGCTGCATGCACTATCCCCAGGTCGTCATTCTGGTTCCTGCGGGTCGGAGCTGCCTTCGAACAAATCGGTCCAGGAGGGGGTCCTGTCGGCTGGCGAGGTACTGGCGCTGCATTTGCACCCGTAGCAATAGTTGGCGCAGCCTTCGCTGCAGCCATGCCCGCGGTAGATGCTGGCCCAGTCGCCATGGCTCACAGCAACGCAAGCAATCACAATAGCAACTGCTCTATGCGGTCCCCCTGCAGCTCGATCGGGACGGCTACACTCAACAACATCTCCCCCTTCTCTCTCCTTTACTATGGTACTGTGCGTCTTCAGTGAAAAAATACTGCCCACTTAAATGCGCATATTGCAACTGTTGGGATATCTGACGCCTAACGAATTCTAGTGCTCTGACTAGCTGCCCGACCCTCTACACCTCGTTGCCCCGCATCTTGTAGAGATTCGCGAGCTTCCGAGGATCACGGGCCAGTGCACGCGCGTACTGCATCACATTCTCTGGAAATGCCTCAGCTGGCGCTCCACTGTCCTCTCCAACTCCGTCCTGGGTCCTGCTCCCGTCGGCTTGGTTCCCCCCGCTTTGATCAGCCCCAAGGTGAAGGCGCTCTGGAAGGATCTCATGTCTACCGTGGGCACTTGTGCTGGGGGTCCCTTGGCCAGGTGGATCACCGTCCTGAGGTCGGGGCTCATGTTGAGCGAGTACTGAAGTTTTGCCTTGCGCTCCTGCTCTGGCGCTCCGTCTGGGATGTAGCACTCCCTCAAACGGAACATCCTGAAACATTCGTCCACGTATGCTTTCCCGTACTCCTCTGGACCTGCTGCTTCCATCCAAGACGCGAGTACTTTCTTGGCTTCTCCCTCGGTCCCCTCGTCCCCGAACGCGTCGTGCATCGCCCCGACCACCCCCGCCGCTATGTGCACGTGGGGGGGGCCCAGCTTGTGTCCCTTTCCCGCTTCCTTGACAGCCTGGTGGTATCCCTGTCCAGCCTCGAAACCTTCTCGTACGACTGAGGCTGTGCGAGGGAGGATCCAGAACCCGGTGCATATGTTGGACATGTCTCTCTGCTCTGCTGCTACGCGGAGGGTTAGCTTCTGGACAGTGACCAAGGCTTGCTGGAGTTCTGGGGCTGCGGCGACGTTGTCTGCTCTCACTTGCTTGTGCCCCCTGCCCCTGCCACCTCCTCCTTTCCCAGATAGCTGCTGGTCCCCACTGCTGCTGTCCGCTCCGCTGGCTCCTTCCACCGCCCTCTTCTTCTTCGCCGACGCCCAGGACACCCTCATCTCTGCCAAATCGTACTGTGTGCGGTCCAGGATGGTGGCAAGTGACGTGTGTCTGGAAGTCTTCGAAGCTGCTAGCTTGATACTGGCAAACACTACAGACCAACTCGCTCTCTCTTACCTCAATCAGCTTGTGTTCCCACTTCGAGACCGCAATGTAGCAAATGCCCGTCCCCTCTGCCGCTCTTGCAGCATGGTCTGTTGCGACTCTCTTACTGGAAAAGATCGATCTGCACCACGGGCACTGGTTCGTGATCACAAGCTTAGGTATGAGCGGCTCTATCTTATGCTGCACTCTCCTGTGTGCTGCCAGCGCCGCTGCTGTCCGAAATCTACATCCGCATACTACGTCTGCCCCCTCCGAGTTCACGCTCTTCAAGTCGCACCAAAATCTTTTATCCAGTTCTGCTGTTTTTTTTTCTTCGGGCTCTTTGGTTTCTGTTTGTGGTCTATTTTGTTTCCATTCTCTAGCGATGCTATTCAACACTGAAGGGTCCGTCTTAAGCCACTTCTCTGTTTCTTCGGTTCCATCTGTAAATAAACTCATGTCGCTCGACCGTTTATCGTACCACTCTTTAGATTCTTCGTCGTGATTAGCAAGATAGCGCATGTCCTCCAAATACTGCTTGGCCCACGGTGTGGGCTGCGTAGTATTATTGTGCTCATTGATGCGCTTTATCCCTATGCTCTGGTCACTCTTAGACGTGCCGAATACTGCTGCTATGACTGCCTCGTGGTCGTTCGGGAATTGCGACCAGCGCTTGTACCACTTTAACCTTCTGACTCTCAGCTCGTCTGCGCTCCTGTTGATCCTCCATTCCCTGAACACCTCCTCCACCGTCGTTGTCCTCTCCCTTCCTTGCTCGTCAGTCCAACAGTTCTTTCCCCTCGACAGGTACCTGAGTAACTTGCACAGAGTAGTGTCGACCGCGTCTGTGTACTTCTTACTTATCACAAAACATGATAACCCACTCAATGCTGCACCCACAATAAAAGCCATGAACATGCTACGCTTGATAACCTTCGAGGTCTTGGACGACCAGAACGTGTTACACTGTCTCCATGCTGCTCTTGCTGCGTCGCAGCGTCTCCTTATCTCGTTTCCTAGTCCCTGGTCCGAAGGTATGTAGGGCCCCAGCACTCTCATCTCTCGCAAGGCCTCTCCCCTGAGTCCACTCGTCTGCTTCCTCAGTGCCCGAGTGCTTTGGTAGCTTCGTTCACCTCGTAATACTAGAAGGTGGTTTGTCTTGTCATGGTTGAGCCGCCAGCTTCCTGCTGTTAGTGCCCCCTCGAGTCTACCACTTACCAGGTTCAGCTGCTCTACCACTTCCTCTTTTCTTGCTGCGAAAGGTAGCATCGTAATCCCACCAGCCCTTTGGGCGTGAGTGGTTTAGAGAGCTCTCTCTCTGTTCTCAACCCCCCTTTCTTCCCCTTCGGGGAGGGGTTTGCCCCTCCCCCTACCCCCTCCCCCTGGGCCTGGAGAGGGCGCCTCGCGGGTGGTCAAAGGGGTCTTTTTCGACTCCTGTGAGGGCTAAAAAACGACACCCCTCACGAGGATTCTGGCCCCGACGGGGGGAGGCAGAAAAAAACCCTCTCCTCTTCTTTGAAGCCAAAATCATTGATTTTACTACGGTTTTGGCCCCATTTTGGCCTTCCGAGGGGGCAGCGCTCCTTAAAGCTCCCTTTTTCTTTCAAGGTAAAATCATTGGTTTTACAAAGGTTTTGGCTTCATTTTGCCCTTCTGAAGGGGCAGCGTTCATGAAAGCTCCTCTCTTCTGTGATCGATTCCCTCCAAGATGGCCCCAAGAAGCGCCCAGGAGGCACCAAGAGGCCCCAAGATGGCCCCAAGAGGCCCCCAGGAGGCCCCCAAGAGGATCCCAAACGGCCCAAAGAGGCCCCCCCGAGGCACCCAAGACGCCGAAAAGCCCATCAGGACGACCCTCTACTCGCCTGGGCGTCGTTTCTGGACGGGCAGGAGGAGGGGCCCGAACGACTCACACCAGGACGAGGGGCCCGAACAACTCACACCACGAGAAGCCCGAACGACTCACACCAGGACGAAGAGCCCGAACGACTCACACCACGAAGAGCCCGAACGACTCACACCAGGAAGAAGGGCCCGAACGACTCACACCAGGACGAGAAACCCCAAACGACTCAAACCACGAGGAGCGCTTTCTCTCCCTCCTCCTCCGCCTCGTCCTTCTCCCGCTCCCACCGCAAGGAGGATGTACAAGGAGGCGGGAGGAAGGAGGAACAGGGGAGATATGCGGGGGCAGGCGGAAACACGCCTGAAAAACACGATTGTCGGCATGCTTCGCTAGAGTTGCTGGTGGGGATACGCGAAGCGTGAAGAGTTTTAATAATATCATCCATGAAGGTGCTAATGCTCAAGTCGTAGTACTGCTCACTTATGGGGTGCTGAGTATCGTTCACCTGCTGTCCTTCCTGTTCTCTCTCTCTCCCTCTAGCCAGCCTGTGACGAGAGGGTTGTAGCAATCGTTAAAGTCACGCGGAGCCAGCGTGAAGCCCATCTGGGCCCCTTTGTTGCTTTTCAGGTCAACTCTTTCGTCGGCTGCCTGTAGGGACAAAACAGTGTGCTCCCGTATGCATACGGGATGTCATGCTCCTCGGTGGTGCGATCTGTGTGTTCTCGGAGTAACGCTCTGTCGGTCGACGCGAATGCGTTTGTACAGTCAAAGTTGCTCATGATTGATAAGCGATCTCCCTGCCTGTTCACATCTCCACTTCGTGGTCAGCAATACTAGCACTGCAGTTTCCCGTGACCTATGCGCTAGTCCTCCGTGTGCAAAGTGAGGTCGTGACCTATGCGCTAGGTCCTCCATGCCAGCTGCGCAGTATGCGTGCATGATGCGCTTCCCCGCTATTCCTATCTTATTATTCGCTTTCTCTGCTGCAAAGCTGTGCGATCGTAGCATGCCTAGCGGCATAGTCTGGCATTGTCTGAGGTGCTAGGAGGAGGAGGAGGAGGAGGAGGAGGAGGAGGAGGAGGAGGAGGAGGAGGAGGGCACGAAGCTCGGAGGAGGAGGAGGAGGAGGAGGGCGGGAGGAGGCGGGAGGCCACGGACAAAAAGGAGGAGGGGGAGAAGGCAAGAGGAAGAACAGGAGGAGGCAAGGAGGGGAGGAGAGGAGCAGGAGAAGACAGGAGGGGGGGTCGGGGTGAAAGGGAGGACCCCCACTTCCTCTCCATTTTGCCCCCCCCCACCCCCCACCCACCCACCCCCCCAACCCACCACTTCCGCTCACCATCCCTCTCCCGGTTCCACCCCCCCCATCCACCCCCTCCCCTTTCCTCTGCCCCCCCTTCGCCTTCACTCCACTCCTCCCCCTTCCCCCTCGTGCTCCTCCTCGCCCCGCTCGCCCCCCTCGCCCCCTCCTCCCCCCCACTTCCTCCTTCTCGCCCCCCCCCGCTGCTCCCGCCGCTCCCCGCGGCTGCCGCGCCCTGCCCTCCCACCGCAGGCCGCGCCGCGCGCGGAGGCGGCCTCCGCGCGCGCAGCGCCGCCGAGGCACAGAGGGCGCCTCACACCAGGCGCGACCATCGCCGCTGTGCGGCGGACACTGAAGGGGAACTGGGACACACAAATAAATACACACAAATAAAAATACCCCCCATATTTTCTCATATTTTCTAAGTTTTTGTCTTCCCCCCACTTCCCATATTTTCCCATATTTTCTTGGAATCGCCGATTAATTGTGTCTGTGTGTTTTTTCCCCTCCTGAGACACATGCGATCAGAGAAACCCGGTACAGTCAAAAACCCTAAAAAGGACGCGCGGCAAGGACGCAAGACCCTTGGAAGCCGAAGCTGGGATGTCTGGGGCGGCGGACGACGAAAACCTCAAGGATGCAAGAGCAAGGAAGAGCAAGGACGCAAGGACACCCTGAGCACAGTCGCGCGTCCTTATTAAGGTTTTTGACTGTATGAGAAACCATGGCGCACTTTTTTGTCGAGAACCGAGCCTCCCGAGGTGCCCCAGGGCTTCTGCGGGCCTCCGACGACTCGAAGCTGTGCACACACTGCGGGGGGTAGGCACCTCGGCTCCGAGGCCCGAGGCAGTCTCGCGCAAAGGGTCACAACGCCGTCGCGCGCCCCCAGAGTGTTCGGCAGCTGCTGCGGCCCGCGTGTCTTGAAGGGGCCCTGGGACACACAAATGAATACACACAAATAACAGGATGCCCCGTATTTTCTGATATTTTCTGGGTTTTTGTCTTCCCCCCACTTCCCATATTTTCCCATATTTTCCTGGGGGTCAACGATTCATGGTGTCTGTGTTTTTTCCCTCCGGATATCTGTGAGCCCCCAGGTGCACTGGGTGATCAAAAATGTCCGTGGGGCACCTGCTCTGCTGGCAGGCAGATTTCTTCTTCGACACGCGCGCTCTAAGTCACGAGCGTCGAGCGCATCCATACCAACGCCCTCGCGGTGTGGATTCGGGGATCGCGCCAGGAGCGGTGCCCGAGGCGCCGCCGGGGGGGCAAGGCGCGGATGCAAGAAATCCGCGCGGAGCGCCAAGACGTGTCTTTTCGTCTTCGACTTGCGGTCTCGCGGTCCTCCTCCTCCTCCTCTTCCTCCTCCTCCTCCTCCTCCCTCCT